AAAATAAAAAAAGAAAGAAAAAGAGGTTTTCAAACCCCCCAAATCACTAAGCTAAAAATAAAATTCAAGGTGGCAATTGAATCTGTTCAGAGTCACCCTCCGCTCACTGAGATAGATGCATATCTGATTGCCTCCTTTGGAAAGGCTCATCAGAAACTCAAAATAATCCAACCGTTTGTCAGTCTTCCTGCCCCTGTTCAGCTGTCCCGCTTTCCCTGACCGGATCACGTTGTCTTCCATATTCATGTGTCCTGTGTCCCCAGAACATATAAAAACTTAGCTGTGTCCTGACAACCGTGAGCACCTGTGGTCAGGACCTTCTGAGGCTGGGTCACGGGCGCGTGTGGTCACTCTTGGCGAAATAAACTTTCTAGATTAACAGATAACGTGTCTCAGATTTTCGGGGCTCACCGGGGTCACAGCGGGGGTTGCTGGGTCGGAGGACGATGTCCATCGGGTAAATTCTTAATTTTTTTTTTTTTTTTTTGAGACAGAGTCTTGCTCTGTTGGCCAGGCTGCAGTGCAGTGACAAGCCTCGACTCCTCACTGCAACCTCCCAGCTAATTTTTGAATTTTAGTAGAGACGGGGTTTCTCCGTGTTGGGCTGGCTGGTCTCGAACTCCTGACTTCAGGCGATTCTCCTGCCTCAGCCTCCCGAGTAGCTGGGATTACAGGGGCCTGCCACCATGCCCAGCTCATTTTGTATTCTTAGTAAACACAGGGTTTCTCCGTGTTGGCCAGGCTGGTCTGGAAGTCCTGGCCTCAGGTGATCCACCCGCCTCGGCCCCCCCAAAGTGCTGGGATTACCGGCGTGAGCCACCGTGCCCAGCCGTGGATTCTTTCAAACGCACCCAGAAGCCACTGCACGCAGCCCTGGTCTCGGCAGACTTGAATTCACAGAGCCCGTGGTGAGCGTTCTGCTCACTGCCCTCCCCTAAATGTCCACCAGGTGCCCCCAAGGCCCTTGGCGACCAGACCTCAGCCTCCGCCAGCACAGAGCGTTTCATCTACCCCTCCCGGCGCCCCAGAAAAAGACGTAAACCGCCAGGTGCAGTGGGTGACACCTGTGATCCCAGGACTTTGGGAGGCCGAGGCGTGCGGATCATGAGGTCAGGAGTTCGAGACCAGCCTGGCCAGCATGGCGAAACCCCGTCTCGACTAAAAACACAGACACTGCCCGTGCGTGGTGTCAGACGTCTGTCATCCCAGCTGAGGCAGGAGATGACCGGGAGGAGATGCTCGGGGGGGGGCTGAGGCAGGAGATGACAGGTGATTCTCGGGGTGTGGGGCGGTGGGCTTAGGCAGGGGAATCGCTTGAACCCGGGAAGCGGAGGTTGCGGTGAGCCGAGATCGCGCCACTGCCCTCCAGCCCGGGCGACAAGAACGAGACTCTGTCTCAAAAACAAAAAACGACCTGAAGCCACATGAACGGCTCGGGCCTGACCACTGGGGTGGCCCCAGGCCCCCCAGGAAGTTCCAGCCAGAGAGTTTCCAAAATAATTTGCTGTTTGTTCCAGCCAAGGCCAACACTACCTACCCCCCCAGCCTCTCCCAGAGCATTTACAGACAGGTGCTAAAGTCCAGAGTCCCCCCTGTACCCCTTGGAGATGTTTTAAGGCCGGGCGTCCTGGGGTGCTTTGATGTCTGCCTCTGGAATGACATCAAAAAACCCTTTAACTCCTTCTTTGCCAACTGTGCCAAGCGCCCTTCTCTGAAATTCCCATTCAACCCTGCGCGAATCCAGGGTGATGTCAGGACACGCAAGACCCTCTTCCCTCTTGCTGATTAAAATCTGTTCTTGGGCCGGGCGCGGCGGCTCACGCCTGTCACCCCAGCACTTTGGGAGGCCGAGGCGGGCGGATCACCTGAGGTCAGGAGTTCGAGACCAGCCTGGCCAATATCATGAATCCCCATCTCTACTAAAAATACAACAATGAGCCCAGTGTCATGGCACGCGCATGTGATCCCAGCTACTCGGGAGGCTGGGGCAGAATTCCTTGAACCCGGGAGGCGGGAAGGGGAGGGGGGAAGAGGAGGAGAGGGAAGGGGAGGGGAGGGGAGGGAAAAATGAAGGATGAAGAAAGGAAAAGAGGGAGGGAGGGAGGGAGGGGAGGCAGAAGCCAGGCCAGAAACAGCCGCAGTGGTGGCAGCTTGGCGCAGTGGTGGCAGCTTGGCGCAGTGGCGGCAGCTTGGCGTTTACCTTACTTGAACCCGGTTTCAACATCTGCCTGCCTTTGGCTGACACGCAGCGGCCGGCGGGAGGGCAGGTTCAGGTCTGTTTACACTTCCCGTGACCCCACAGTTCACTGTGTACAGAGAAAGCTTTCGGCCGAACTGAAAATACGTCAGGAGGCAATTTCACGAAACATAAAAACTGGAGACAAAAGTTTCGTGTTTTTTTTTTTTTTTGAGATGGAGTCTCGCTCTGTCCCCCAGGCCAGAGGGCAGTGGTGTGATCTCAGCTCACGGCAGCCTCCGCCTCCGGGGTTCAAGCGACTCTCCTGCCTCAGACTCCCGAGTAGCTGGGATCACAGGTGCCCACCAGCACACGCAGCTAATTTTTTGTGTTTTTAGTAGAGACGGGGTTTCGCCGTTTTTGCCAGGCCGGTCTCGAACTCCTGACCTCAGGTGATCCACCCGCCTCGGCCTCCCAGAGTGCTGGGATGACAGGCGTGAGCCACCGCGCCCGGACTTTTCTTTTCCTTTTTTTCTTTTTTTTATTTTTTTATTTTTATTTTTTTTCTTTTTTTTTTGAGACGGAGTTTTGCTCTTGTTACCCAGGCTGGAGTGCAATGGCGCGATCTCGGCTCACCGCAACCTCCGCCTCCTGGGTTCAGGCAATTCTCCTGCCTCAGCCTCCTGCGTAGCTGGGATTACAGGCACGCGCCACCATGCCCAGCTGATTTTTTGTATTTTTAGTAGAGACGGGGTTTCACCATGTTGACCAGGATGGTCTCAATCTCTTGACCTCGTGATCCACCCGCCTCGGCCTCCCAAAGTGCTGGGGTGACAGGCTTGAGCCACCGCGCCCGGCTCTTTTTTTCTTTTTTAAGAGATAGGATGTCCCTGTGTCACCCAGGCTGGAGTGCAGTCGTGTGATCATAACCAACTGCAGCCTCGACCTCCCAGGCTCAAGTGATCCTCCCCCCTCAGCCTCCCGAGCAGCTGGTACTACAAGGGCACACTCCGACGCCCAGCTAATTTCTACCTTTTCTGTGGAGACGGGGGCTGGGTACCCTGCCCAGGCTGGTCTGGAACCCGTGGGCTGAAGCATCCGCCCGCCTCAGCCTCCCACCGCGCTGGGATTTCAATCTCTGGAAAATGGTCATCTATTTTAACGTTGAATGGTGGTGTCTGGTCACAGGCATGTGTTTTGAGAATTGCATCCAAAGCCGAGTGAGTTTCCTGCTGTGTGTGTGGTCAGAGGTCGTTCTGCTGTTCAAAGGCCTGTGTGACGATTTTGAGCATGGGGACTTGGAGCATAAATGATTAGCAGGTGGAGAATCGCAGGTGGTATCGGGGTGACGAGCCCTCATCCCTGACTCCCTCCACCTCAGTGCTTTATTTTATTTATATTTTTTGAGACGGCGTTTTGCTCGGTCGCCCAGGCTGGAGTGCCGTGGTGCGATCTCAGCTCAGTGCAACCTCCGCCTCCCGGGCTCAAGCGATTCTCCTGCCTCACCCTCCCGAGTAGCTGGGATGACAGGGGCCCGCCACCACCATGCCCGGCTATTTTTTGTGTTTTTAGTAGAGTCGGGGTTTCCCCGTGTTGTGCTGGGAAGTCTGTATGTATCGCTCATGAAAATCAGTATCTCAGCCGGGCGCGGTGGCTCACGCCTGTAATCCAGGCACTTTGGGATGCCCAGGTGGGCGGATCACTTGAGGTCAGCAGTTCGAGACCAGCCTGGGCAACACGGTGAGACCCCGTCTCTACTAAAAATACAAAAAAAAATTTAGTTTGGGGCCGGGCGCGGTGGCTCAAGCCTGTAATCCCAGCACTTTGGGAGGCCGAGGCGGGTGGATCACGAGGTCAAGAGATCGAGACCATCCTGGTCAACATGGTGAAACCCCATCTCTACTAAAAATAGAAAAAATTAGCTGGGCATGGTGGTGCGTGCCTGTAATCCCAGCTACTCAGGAGGCTGAGGCAGGAGAATTGCTTGAACCCGGGAGGTGGAGGTTGCAGTGAGCTGAGATCGCACCCCTGCACTCCAGCCTGGGCGACAGAGCGAGACTCCATCTCAAAAAAACAAAAACAAGGCCGGGCACTGTGGCTCACGCCTGTAATCCTAGCACTTTGGGAGGCCCAGGTGTGTGGATCAACTGAGGTCAGGAGTTCAAGACCAGCCTGGCCATCACGGTGAAACCCCATCTAAAAAAAAAAAAAAAAAATTAACAAAAAACACAAAAATCAGTATCTCCAGCTCCTGATCAATAAACAAGTGAAGCGTAAGCAACCCTGGCCTTGAGGCTGGCTTCGGTGACTCACGCCTGTCATCACAGCACTTTGGAAGGCGGAGGGAGCAGATCACGAGGTCAGGGGTTCAAGACCAGCCTGGGCAACATAGTGAGACCCCCGTCTCTACTGAACATACAAAAAAATTCCCCGGGCCTGGTGGTAGTTGCCTATGATCCCAGCTACTGGGGAAGCTGAGGCAGGAGAATCGCTTGAGCCCGGGAGGCGGAGGTGGCGGTGAGCCGAGATCACCCCACTGCGCTCCAGCCTGGGCACAACACAGGGAGACTCTCTTTCAAAAAAAATAAGAATACTGAGTGAAAGATTCCACGTCTCCTCTGGCCCCTGGTGGGACATAGGGACCAGGAGCCGGCTTAGGGGTGACCAAGGGGGGCGACCAGGATGGCTGGGGAGCAAGGGGGGCTGGGGGCTGCCGGAATGCCAGGAATATTCCAAAGTTCTCTCTCTTTTTTTTTTCTGTTTTTCCCCAGACGGATTTCTTGCTCTGAATCTTCTTGCAAACAGCGGAGTGGCAAGTTACAAAGTGAAGACCTTCAACGTGTGTGGATCTGGGAAAGGTGTAATAAATAGACCCTTTCATTTATTTTTATTTAAATTTTTTTTTTTTTCTTTTTCTTTTTTTTTTTAAAAGATGGGCTTTCACCATGTTGGTCAGGCTGGTCTTGAACTCCCGACCTCAGGTGATCCGCCCGCCTTAGCCTCCAAAGTGCTTGGATTACAGGCATGAGCCACCACGCCCAGCCTCATTTATTTATTTTGGAGACGGACTCTCGCGGTGTTGCCACGCTGCAGTGCCGTGGCGCGATCTCAGCTCACAGCGGCGTCCGCCTCTCTTGTTCAAGCGATCCTCCTGCCTCAGCCTCCCGAGTAGCTGGGGATTACAGGCGCCCGCCACCACCCCCGGCTGATTTTTTCTATTTTTAGTAGAGACGGGGTTTCACCATGTTGACCAGGGTGGTCTCGATCTCTTGACCTCGTGATCCACCCGCCTCGGCCTCCCAAAGTGCTGGGATTACAGGTGTGAGCCACCGCGCCCGGCCTTTAAATTTTGTATTTTTTTAGTAGAGACAAGGTTTCACCGGGTTGGCCATACTGCTCTTGAACTCTGATTTCAAAGGATCCGCCTGCCCCGGCCTCTCAACATTGTCTCTTTTCTCTAGTAAAGGGGTAAGACCCACCTTCGGAGACAGCAGTCCGTATCCTTTATGTCAGCGTGCTTCTCAGGAGGGAGGGGGAAACGGAATTGGTGATGGTTTTAAAGAAGCCAGCTCAGGCCAGGCGCGGTGGATCACCTCAGGTCAGGAGTTCGAGACCAGCCCGGCCGACAGGGTGAAACCCCAACTCTGCTAAAAATACAAAAAATTACGCAGGCGTGGTGGCGGGTGTTGTGATCCCGGCTACTCGGGAAGCTGAGGCAGGAGAGTCTCTCGAGCCCGGGAGGCAGAGTTTGCAGTGAGCTGAGATCTCACCACTGCCCTCCAGCCTGGGCGACAGAGCGAGACTCCATCTCAAAATAAATAAATAAATATAATAAACGTTTATCTCCACCTGGTGTCCCTCCTAGCTATTGGAGGGGGTGCTCCCCGTCCTCAGTATTCGAAACTCAAACACGGGGTGACGGAACGTTCCAGTGGAGAAGACGGCTTTGCATCACAGTTAGCGCCCCCACCAAGAGCTTCCGTGCCGGGCGTGGGGAGAGGTTGGCAGACACACCTTCCAGCGCACAAGGGCACCGGCAACAGGGAAGTCCCGGCATTTCCAGGGCCCCACGCTCAGCCACTTAACTCCAGCACCTTTCACAGCCCTCGGCTGGCACAAGACAGGTAGCACCGAGGCACGGACGAGACGTCCCTCAGCCCCGGAGGTCCCCGCCCGCTGTTCCGCCCACACCTGGCCGCCCAGGACACAGAGAGGGAGGACAGCCCGTGTGACCAGGGGTCCATGTCACACCAGGACACAGAGAGAGGAAGGGCCCTGTGACCACGGGTCCACGTCACACCAGGACACACGGAGGAAGGCTGGACCCTGTGTCCACACGTCCACATCACACCAGGACATAGAGGTAGGAAGGGCCGGGTGCCATGACCACGGGTCCACATCACAGCAGGACACAGGAAGGACGGGCCCGGTGACCACAGGCCACATCACATCAGGACACAGAGAGAGGAAGGGCCCTGTGACCACGGGTCCACGTCACACCAGGACACGGAGGAAGGCCGGGCCAGTGACCAGGGCCCACGTCACACCAGTACAGAGGGAAGACAGGCCCTGTGACCACAGGTCCACGTCACACCAGGACAAAGGGAGGAAGGCGGGGTCCTGTGTCCACACGTCCACATCACACCAGGACACAGAGTGGGGAAGGGCCGGGCCCATGACCAGGATCCACATCACATCAGGACAGAGGAAGGAAGGCTGGGCCCCGTGTCCACATGTCCACATCTCACCAGGACACAGGGAGGACAGGCCCTGTGACTACAGGCCACATCACATCAGGACATAGAGGGAGGATGGGCCACGTGACCACAGGTCCACATCACACCAGGACACACTAAGGAAGGCTGGGCCCTGTGTACACATGTCCATATTACACCAGGACACAGAGGGAGGACAGGCCCCATGACCACAGGCCACATCACACCAGGACACGGAGGAAGGGCCGGGCCATGTCCACGTGACACCAGGACACAGAGGGGAAAGCCGGGTGTGGCGAGCTCTTACGAACCCACTCCTTGTGACCGCGGGCAGAGCAGGAGATGGTCCCGGCTCCGTGACCGTGCGAGGAGGCGTGGAAGCCAGGCCCCTGCTCCTGTGCCTCGCCAGGGCACAGGTCATGTCATGGGCCTCTCAGGGCTGTGGGAGGAGGCAGGAAACAGGAGAGACGGGTTGGCAGGGACTCAGTGAAGGGAGGAGGGAGGAGGGGGAAGGACAGGAGGAAGGAAGGAAACAGATGGGCCACGAGGAAGCTGTGGGAGGCTTGGCAGAGAGAGGGGTCTCAAGGAAGAGTGGAAGGAGGAGGTGGAGGATGGAGAAGACAGAGAAGCAGCAGGGGGAAGAAGGAGCAGGGAGGAGGGCGGACCGTGGGGAGCTGACGGGCCTGAGTTAGGGGTGAAGGAAAGGCAGAGACGTCCGTGGCCTGTGGCTTGGTGGCCAGCCAGATGTCCCCATGTCCAGGACAGCAGCTGCCCCCGAGGTGCCCCAGAGCTGGGGTGAGGGCAGAAACACGGGCCGGGACAGAAATGGGGTACAGGAGCCCCGTCTACAGTTACGTGGGAGAATCCCACCCAGGAACGCGGGATCACAAGGCAGCCCCGTGAGCCGTCCACTGCAGCCCCCAAATCTTCCGCGCACTCCCCCCCTTTTTTTTTTTTGAGACAGAGTTTTCCTCTTGTCGCCCAGGCTGGACTGTAGTGGCACCATCTCGGCTCACTGTGACCTCCGCCTCCCGGGTTCAAGCGATTCTCCTGCCTCAGCCTCCCGAGGAGCCGGGATTACAGGCGTGCACCACCATGCCTGGGTAATTTTGTATATTTTAGTAGACATGGGGTTTCTCATGTTGCTCAGGCTGGTCTCGAAGTCTTGACCTCAGGTGGTCCTCCTGCCTCGGCCTCCCAAAGTGCTGGGATTACACGTGTGAACCACCACACCCAGTCTAGAATTATGTAAAGGCCCATCGGCTTTAAATTGGAATTTTTAATTTTATTTTTACTTTTTGAGATGGAGTTTCCCTCTTGTTGTCCAGGCTGGAGTGCAGTGGTGAGACCTCAGCTCACTGCAGCCTCCGCCTCCCGGGTTCAGGCGATTCTCGTGCCTCAGCCTCCCAAGTAGCTGGGATCACAGGCGCCCACCGCCACACCCAGCTGATCCGTGTACTCTCTGAGGCCCACACTGGCCCTGACCTGGCGTCCAGCCCGGAGTGGGAGACAGCGAGGTGCGTGGGAGCACCTGCAGAGTAGACGCAGAGGAAGCAGCTGGGAGGAGTCTGGAACGGGGCCCTGGACAGACCCCTGACTGGCGCTGCTGGTCACCTCCTGGTCAGGTCAGGGTGGGGGAGTCTGGGTGGAGTGTGCTGGGACAAGCCATTCTCACCGACAGAGGCAGTGTGGGCCGCCCAGGACACGGACAAGGGCCACACGAGGTGGGAGAGGCCGGAACCCGAAGGGGATACCTGGGTGGGTGGGTTTGCTGGCCCAGGCGCTCAGAGCCTGCAGCCTGCCGGTCCCCTGCCTTCCCCCAGGGCTGAGATGAAAGCACCTGCCCTATTGCCCGACCCCGTCCTGTGGCTTCCAGAAAACAACCCCAGCAGTGACCAGTGGTCGAGTGGAATGTGTCACTCAGAGACCTGTTGCCAGGCACGGTGGCTCATGCCCAGCACGATGGGAGGCTGAGGCAGGCGGATCATGAGGTCAGCAGTTCAACACCGGCCTGACCAATATGATGAAACCCCGTCTACTAAAAATACAAAAATTAGTGGGGTGTGTTGGCACGGGCCTGTAATCCCAGCTACTCAGGAGGCTGAGGCAGGAGAATCGTTTGAACCCCGGAGGCTGAGGTTTCGGTGAGCCAAGACCGCACCACTGCACTCCAGCGTGGGTGACAGAGTAAGACTCCATCTCAAAAAAAAAAAAGGACCTCCATGTCCCCTCCAAGGGCCCCTCTGACCACAGACACCCCCATAGGCACACATGGAATTTGACTGGGACAAGCTCATCCCTGGATGTTGACTGGAGGCTGGTCTTGAACTCCTCACCTCAGTTGATCCACCTGCCTCGGCTTCCCAAAGTGCTGGGATTGCAGGTGGCAGCCACGGCGCCCGGCCAGCCTCACCATCTTTTAGTCGATACTTATCATGCAAAATCTTGCCCTGCTTCCTAAACCCACACACCTGCAGAGGTAAGGGCTACAGATGTGAAGAAAACCTTTTTTTTTTTTTAAATAGAGACAGGGTTTTAACATCTTGGCCAGGCTGGTCTCGAACTCCTGACCTGTGATACACCAGCCTCGGCCTCCCAAAGTGCTGGGATTACAGGCATGAGCCACCATGCCCGGTCTGAGAAAACTTTTCGCTCTTAAAAATCAGGATCTCGGGCCGGGCGCGGTGGCTCAAGCCTGTCACTCCAGCACTTTGGGAGGCCGAGGCGGGCGGATCACGAGGTCAAGAGATCGAGACCATCCTGGTCAACACGGTGAAACCCCGTCTCTACTAAAAATACAAAACATTAGCTGGGCATGGTGGCGCGTGCCTGTAATCCCAGCTACTCGGGAGGTTGAGGCGGGAGAATTGCCTGAACCCAGGTGGTGGAGGTTGCGGTGAGCCGAGATCGCGCCACTGCACTCCAGGCTGGGTAAAGGAGTGAAACTCCGTTTAAAAAAAAAAAAAATCAGGATCTCAGCCGGGCATGGTGGCTCACGCCTGTAATCCCAGCACTTTGGGAGTCTGAGGAGGGCGGATCATCTGAGGTCAGGAGTTCGAGACCAGCCTGGCGACTATAGAGAAACCCCATCTTTAAAAATAAAAATAAATAAAAAAATAAAAATCAGTATCTCGGTCGTCCTGAGGCTCCACGAGACCGCCCTCAGCAGCCACCAGTGGCCCGAGTGGAAGGTCAGTCTCAGACCTGCGTGTCCCCTCCAAGGGCCCTTCTGACCAGAGACACCCCCGAGCCCACCCCTTGGGGACGTCCTCCTCAGTGTCGCTAAACCCCCGGCCAGGGGGACCCCGGGGACGCACTGTGGGATCTACTGTTGGGTCCCCTATGGGGGTTTTCATGACCCCAGGCCTGGTCAGGACGCCGGCCCCTCCCCTGACCCAGGGCAACGGG